TTATTATTATGAGATACACTAAAAATATTATCATGAACTTTTTTGGTAATTGAGTTTAGCATTATTCAAAATCTTTTAATTTGATAGATTTTTTTGATTTATTTTTTCATGTGATTTAATATTAAAAAAAATTATCAGTTGAAATATGTTTTCTTCTCAATTGAATCTGCTCGTAGTGGTGTTTATTGGAGACTTCCGTTTCTAATTATGGAAATTGAAATTCGAATGCAAGACATAATCAGAATTTTGATCACTTTAATATCAAATTGCCCTGAAAAATTATTAATCTAAATATAATTTGACTTGAAAAAGGAGAAGATAATTAAACTCCAACTTCTTTTAATTTTATTGGAAAATGAGAAAAAGCCGATCATATATTCTCACACCTTCCTATCATATTTTATTTCAGTAGGCAATGGTATCCAAAATATTTAATATATATAGATAGAGTAGTTTTTTAAGAAGGATAGCACCACTTGTCATGAGGTTAGGTATATATCGAAAGCTTTCACAAGGTCCCTATAGACTATAGTTGAGACAAGATAGACAAAGATTGTTGATTTATATTCTTGAATTATTATGGGGTTTTCTATTTTATGTAATTTGACCAAGATAAATAATTTTGAGATGTTTTTTTTTTTTGTGGCCTTCTAATAACTAGCTAGGAGAAGAACATTTTTGTCTCCATGTTTGCTATTTTTTCACATGAATTTTTGAGGTTAGATAATTGTTATTAGTAATTAATCACTCACATAACGTCCATTTTTAATTTAAAAAAGATAGATCATCTACTTTTAAAATTGAAAAGACGATAAACAATAGTAAAATCGAATAACCATCTACCTTTACACAAAAAAATTGTAAGTTGTAGTTTTAATATGTATGCAATATTAAAGATTGTTCAACAAATAATACATTCAATTAATATCACAAACGTCATGTGGTGATGTATTTGCCTTTTCAATTAGAAAATGTTTAACAACTCACATTTCAAATATTGTATTGATTTGTATTTAATTTATTTAGCAACAAACAACTCTGTCTAAATAATAAAGTTCATCACCTAATTTATTTAAATAAATTTACAAGTGTAAATAAAAACATAAATCAAGAAAATAAACAAAATGATTTTGAAGGGTAATTTTATCCTTACATAAATTAATCTCATGGTATTAAATAGTATGTATTACTAATACCACAAAATGAAAGGTATTAGTTATAACACTCTATAATATCATGTTGGGTGTATAACTAAATACATGTATTAGTTATACATAGACTCAAAATTCCTATCAAACATAGTACTAAATAATATCATACATAATACATGAACTATTTTTGCTAATACACACTATCAAATGACCCCTTAATTAGCTAACCATGAAGCACTTTGTACAAAGTGGTGTCATTTGATAATATGTGTACACAGAGGCGGATCTACGATTTGGAGGTCTTGGGTGTCACATCGTTCAAGTTAAATAAACGGGTCGATTATTTTAATTTTGTGTTACAATTCGGGTTATTATCCTTTTCGATTTTTATAAACAAATCGATCAAACATGCATGTTAGTAATATTTTCTTTTAGATATTCTATGATTAGAGATAACTAAACAATTCAATTTTTTTTTTTAGGAATTAAAGGCCTTGTTCACTTACACTTTGAGGAAAAAAGAATTTTTTTCACATTAAAATTTGAGCTTGTATAAACCATCTTATAGTGTTAACTGAATATATTACATTGACTTTATGTGTTGTTGCAGCTATATAGTAGAGAGAATAAAATTGTAGTTTCAACCTAGTCATCTTACTTAACAAGAATGTCGGTGAAGATCGAAAGAATCTTTAAATTGAAAGAACTCTAGTAATAATATTCATCATTTTTAAAACTTATATTTTTTTTAAAACTACTATTTAAATACATTCTTAATAATATTTATCAATAATTAGTGAAAGTTAAAAAAAATTAAGAATTAACTAAGGTGAAAATGAGTCAATTTGAATTAATAAAATGTAGTAAATAAATAAGAATGAATGGAAGAAAAAAAACTAAAGTCCTTCACACATTAATAAAATAGAGACAAAGAAGAAAAGAAAAGAAAAAAAAGCTTCACTGCACGCACAAAAAAATAATGCTAGCAACGAGATTCAAACTCGCATTGCACGTATGGCATATCAGGCCCTTCACCATTTGAACCATTCATCACTTTATTTAGTGGATGGCAAAGTTAATATATATTAATTTCTGATACATATATATATATATATATACAAAGATTTTTCCGAAAATCACTGGGTGCCGTGGCACCCTCACCCATACCCTTAGATCAGCCCCCGTGTGTACATGTATATATTCTGATATTTCAGATTATACATATAGATAGAGTAAATTTTTGATGAAGGATAACACCACTTGCCATAAGGTTAGGTATAGACTATAGTTGAGACAAGATAGACAAAGGTTGTTGATTTATACCCGGTCAACATGATATTTTCCACTTGATTTTAGATTTTACATTTTAAATTTCGGTGTATATGATATTGTTTGTTAGTAAAGATCAAAGATGATGTCTTAATTAAGTAGATGAATGAGATGATATGAAGGTGGCACTTGCGTTTGTTTCGACATAAAGGTAGAAATTAAAATGGTCCTCTTTTTGTATTTATAACGAAAGCAACCATTTATGATAATATAGTAATATAAATATATAGAGAAAAATTCGTTTAGTAGATAAGCTATATTGTCATATTTACCTACCACTCACTTATATAATACTCTTTATGTCCCAATTTATGTGAGACATTTTCTTTTTTTAGAGTCAAACAATTTAAGTTTGTTCAAAACTTTGCGCATAAATCTTCAATTTTTTAAAATAAAATTTATATATTTGTAAACTACGTAAAAACTACTATAAGTCATAATAATTGACAATCCAAAATATATATAAAAAAATTATCATCAAAGATAGACTTGTTTGAATCTCAATATTCGAAACATGCCACATAAATTAGGACAGAGCAGAGGCAGAGCTAGGTGGGGGTTCGGACGAACCCAGTAGCTTTTTCGTAGACCATGTATTTGTACTAAAAAATTAAATAAATATATATGTATATTAACTTGTGAACCCCTAACAAAATTAATTGACGGTTCAGTGGTAAGGAAGAGACCCTAGAAATGCCTTTCACGCTAGAATTGTAAACCCCTCTCTTTTTCTTAAAAGAAAATTTAGAATCCACAAACTCTTAATCTTGACTCCGCCTCTAGGACTAACGGGAGTTAAAGGACAAATATACCCCCGAACTGACGTAAATGGTGTGCAAATACCCTCCGTCATACTTTTGGGACATTGATACTCATGCCGTCCAAAAACTAGAGCATATATGCCCTTCACTCTAACCGGTATATATGCTCTACCTTTTTGACGGTAGGGGCACCAATGTCCCAAAATATGATGGAGGATATCTGCATACCATTTACGATAGTTCGGGGGTATATTTATCCTTTTTCCCGAAATTTTTTAATATGGTTGAGGCCCAACCAACAATAGTTGTGTGAGGCTCCATTCAATTTTTGACACTTGGATTTGTGGGCCTCATTTTAACACCACACACTCTCTCACCTCATTTTTTCCCAAATTCCCCCTTTTCCCTCCAAAATATTTTAGCTCCTTCTTCAATACTCCTCTCTTTTTCACAATTTTTTTTTAATTCTATGTGCTCTTTATTAATTAGTAACTTGATTAGCTCTTTCTTTCCCATTAATCATTTCTGTCCCTCAACTAAATCAATTTAAAAAATTGCCACCTCTCAACCAATTCAACTAAAATATAATTATTCCTCGTATCCTTAGAAAAAATAATCTTTTAAAATTTTTATTTTACATCTCAAAAAATTGAATCAAATTCCTAAGATACCTTTAAAAGATAAATTTTGATTGAGAAATTCACACACACTTTATATTTGTATTAAGAAGTATTCACTGAATATCAAATATCGAACTAAATAAAAAATTTAGTCAAATTGAATATTTCTTTTACTTCAATTTATTTTCTTTTTATTTTTAAAAAATTTGACATAATCAGCTTTGGTTTCAAAGTAAAAATAAATCGATAAACCACCAAACTGATTATAAAAAGATCTCCCTCTTTATATATATATATATCCCTATTGTGTGTGTGTATTTTGTGTAAAATTAAATTTTTACTTGTTTTTATTTGTAATCTAGTTACCTTTTTATAAATTTAATTCTATTTTTTCACTTTCTAGTTTGATTTGTAATTTAATTATGATGATTTTAAAATTGATTTTATGTTCAAAATCACTTGTTTTTAGTCCTTTAATTATTCATTATTAGTTACTTCAATTGTCATCAATCAGAACTAAATTTTTTTAAAAAAATATACCGAAAAAAAGTTCACCAATGAGTAGGTGAGAGCATACCTATAAGTATTCTAAAATCACTCGTTCTTCAATTTTTTTTAGAAATATTTTGTACTTGGTGTTGCACTTATTATTGAAATTTATGTTAAAAGTCTAAAAAAAAACCAAAAAAATATATAAATCAAGAAAAGAAGACTATAATTATAATGGAGTTCAATTTTTTAATCATATTAGCAATCACGGGGAAAAAAGGCAAAAACTTGAATTGATATTAATTTACATATTTCTATTTGACTTTTGAAAAATAAAAATTTAAGATTATTAAAAAAAAGAGGTAAATACTTATTATGAGGAAAAGGGAGGAATTTGGAAAAATGAAGGTGAGAGAGTGTGTGGTGTTAAAATGGGCCCCACAAATCCAAGTGTCAAAAATTAAATGGAGCCTCACACAACTATTGTTGGTTGGACCTCAACCATATTAAAAATTTTCCTTTTTCCCATAATACAATGAATGATGTCTATATCAAAGAGCCGGCCGCACCCACTAATCAATATGTTGCATTATATGGTGTTGGCCGGCCAATAAACCTCTTCCTTTGCTATATATAAAAATATTAGCTATAATAGCAATAAGTAGAAAATGGTGATATTGGATTTATTAAGAAATATGAATGGAAGAATAATAGGGTCAGGAAAAGAAACAATAATTCTAGCACATGGATATGGAGGAGATCAGTCAATTTGGGATAAAATATTGCCCAAATTATGCGAGTCTTACAAGATTGTTTTGTTTGACTGGTGTTTTTCTGGTGCTAATCTATTAAAACATCATTTTGATGCTGAAAAATACTCTTCCTATGAACCTTTTGCTGATGACTTGATAGCTCTTGTTGATGAAATGAAGTTGGAATCTTTTATATTTGTTGGTCATTCCATGTCTGGCATCATTGGTTGCATTGCTTCTATCAAAAGACCAACACTCTTTAAAAGACTCATCCTTGTTTCATCTTCTCCAAGGTTATTCTTCTTTTCTCTTCTTACTAAACTCTTTCACACTTTAATTTCTTACTTCTTCTTTACTCCTTTTCCTTTCTAATAATAGTTGTGCACTATTGACTTGACACGATCTTTAAGAAACAATAAATGATAAGGGTAATCTTATTCTTTGACTTCATTAAATTTAATGTTTTGAGAAATATATTAGATGATAAATAGTATTTAATTGCAAGGATTAAATAGATACAAAAGATAAATTATCTCTTGATTATCAAAATTAGATAAATATTATTGGACAACTATTAATACTACTCCCTTTATTTGTCACTTGGTACAGAGATTATTGGTACTGGATTTTTCATTTCCTTCTTTGTTTGCTTTGAACGCATCTATACCAATAAATAAATTAGGACCCACTTATCCTAATCTCCTCTTTCTATTCCTTGTTTCATTTTAGATGATATTTTTTTTTAGTTAATTGAAAAAAAGAATGATAAATATAATGCATTTGAAACTTATTTACTTTTTAACTTTTTATTTTACTCTTTTGATACTTTTATTCCTACAGAAATATCATAAATTGTAATTTTAGTATGTGGCAAAAGTCTTTAAAGTTCTTTCTTTCTACAAATTTTAAAACAAATTGTTTCAAAAAAATTTGAAAGTTATCCAGGATTAATTATTCTGGGACAATTTATTCCACCATGTATATGAGATAACTTATCCAATCACTATGGTATAAATAATGGAATAAGTTTTCCAAACTAGACAATACTATTTTTTTTTTTATCCCAAGACTATTTATTCTTGTTTCTCACACCAAACGATCCCGATCTACTCTCGTAACTATGCCATTTTAATTTTGAATCGTGCAGGTTCATTAACGTGGAAGATTACGAGGGAGGTTTCGACATAGCAGAGATGGAAGAGATGTTTAGAAACATTGAGGAAAAGTATGATGTTTGGAGTACAAATTTTGCTATTATAGCTGTGGATCCAAGTGATCCTCCTTCTGTTGACAAATTTGATAAATGCTTGAAAAGAATGGGGGTTGAAATTGCATTACCTTTAGCCAAAAGTGTTTTCCTAAGTGATTATAGACACATTCTTGATAAGGTGATTACCCCATGTACCATAATTCAAACCAAGGTTGATTTTGCTGTTCCAAACTCGGTTCCCACCTTCATGCACAACACTATCAAGGGAGAATCCACTGTTGAGATCATCAACACTAATGGCCATTTCCCGCAGCTCACTGCTCATCAAGAATTCCTTAATGTAATTCATAGAGTCTTAGCTTCTTAGAACAAAATATTATACTATAATATGATCATTTGTGGAATAATGTACTAGTGACGTTGTATCCATGACCTTTATTGGATACAAGATGATACTAGCTAGCTTCGTTTTTTGTTAGGATGATTTGTATGGTTGTTCGTGTCACACTTTGGGAAAATAGTGTTTTGAATGCATAGTTTGTCAATTTTGTTACGAAAGATTGAAATTTGTTCTATCGTGAGGTGTTTAATTTCTTAGGTTTCATTTTCGTTGGGTAAAATAAAGTATTTGTTTCGCGTCGTTTTTGTTTATAAATCATGCATAAATAACTATAACATTAATCTATTACCCAATCGAATAATCTTAGATTGCGTAGCAACGACATAAATTGTTTTGTCCATTCTCCATCCATATAAAAGCAGCACAACTAGCTAGCCACTGTTTTGTTATGTCAATGCTCCATTCATCTAAGATATGGATGTAAGCAGGAAACCAAAATACAGTAATACAAGCCAACATATATATCAAGAAGTCACAATAGATATAGATTTCTAGTCACAAATCTTGACTTAAAAACACATGAAGCATGTCCCATATGATCACAATAGCATATACCAGTTCTCTCATGGAATCTACACACAAATTGTTAGTCTACCGGTGTGGTACCTGTGCCAGCCATTGTTAGTGTACCAGCGTGGTACCCGAGCCAACGATATGATATTCTGTACCAAGAGCGGTACCCGAGACAACCAGCAATCACAAACAACATGCACAATCACACTCAAAATGAACGACCACACTTGAAGCCACAAGTAAAATAAATTGGTTCATTGCATGAGATTATCAACATGATGTATTCAGTCCTTGAGTATCTCCCGCATTCATTGCACATGTAATACTATAAAGCAGTTAACATGCAAACATTACATACACTAGAAACAAACAACCATCACCTACCTCGAATCAAGCCTTGAAAACTCTAAAACCAGAGCTTTCCTTTTTTGGAATGTCTTGGCTTGTTCTTGGTCTAAAACAATAAAATAGACAATATTCAATGACCAATGGCCTAACAATACCCGAATTATACTCGGATTCTAACCGTTAGGCCAATTACATTACCATTCCACCCAGCCATGGCTTTTTCCCACCATTAATTCAAATTAATACCCTCCCCCAAGAGTAACACTCTAGATTCTATGGACCAAGAATCGAATCACAAGTTAAGGGAAAAATTAATCTTATTTTTATCGAAAAGAACGATGGAAAATAGGTGAAAAATACCCTAAGTCACCTCTACAGTTCCCCAAAATGAGATAACCAAATAATGATTGGTTTTGAAACTTCTCTGCATAAAAACCCGACTTATCCTTCTATAGCAACCCAACCCGCTATAGTGGCCTCGCCATAGAGGGACCATCCGATATAGAGGTACCAACCGCTATAACGGGAATTAATTTCATTCGCTTTAGCGGCGAGACACCCGCTATAGTGGGTTTACACAGAGGCAGTAGCTCAGATCCCCAAATCCCCTATTTCACAACATAACCTTGAACCTTGGAGTTAAAAAATAACCCTTTAACGCCAAGTTCGATATCGGTAGTTCTGCTCACCCGAATTCACTTATGAAAATACCCATGAATTCCTTAATGTCTCAGCTAATAGAAAACCCCACCCAAGCATAGGCATTACCACCAATTCCTTCCCGGATTACCCTAGACCTCACCTTTCTAATATTTCATTGAGACTAGCCTAGCCTATGATTTACAAGTTACTATTCAAAAAGTTTTTTGGCCCAAAACTTTAACCATTGGTCTACCCATAATGACCAGAAGGGGTTTTTACAACATATACCGATTTACCCATAGCTCGTTCCCGAGCAATTCAATAAGAAAAAAGCTGGGTTAAGTCAAGAAATAGTGTATATCTGAATCCTAAAACAAGTGAGGGTACTTGTCTTGCATGTCCCTCTCGGTCTCCCAGGTAGGCTTCTTAATGGACAAGGTTTTCACGAAATCTTTACTGATTTGATCTCTTTTGTCCTCAACTTCTGGACATTCTGACACAACTAATTAAAAAACTGCTAAAAAATGACGGAAGAAAAAGCGACGGACAGCGTCGCTCCAAAAAAGTGATGGACTAAGAGATGCCGTCCGTCGCTTTTTAATTAAAATAATTATTTTTAAAATTATTTTACAAAAAGCGACGAACTGCATCTCTTAGTCCGTTGCTTTTTATTAAAAATAAGTATTTATAAATTAAACAATAACCACGCTGTCCGTCGTTTTAATTTATTTTATTTAATTAATAAATTTTTAAAAAAAGCGACGGACGACATCTCTTAGTCCGTCGCTTTTTGGTCAAAATATCTAGAACATTTTTAAAAAGCGACGGACAGCGTCTCTTAGTTGGTCGCTTTTGAATTTTTTTTTTTTAATTTCTGTGAAAAGCGACAGACGGCATCGCTTAGTCCCTTGCTTTTTTTCGCGTATTTTTGCTAATTAATTATTTTATATAGATAGTGACGCAGTCCGTCGGTTTTTATTAAAAATAATTATTTATTATTTTAAAAAAAGTCACGCCGTCCGTCGCTTTTTATTAATTTTAATTATTTAATTATTTTTTAAATTAGCGACGGACAACATCTTTATGTCCGTCACTTCTTGGTCAAAATATCTGGTAAAATATTTTAAGAAAGCGACGGACAATGTCTCTTAGTCTGTCGCTTTTTGGTCAAAATGTTGGCCAAACATTTTTCTTAAAAAAGCGACGGACATAGAGACGTTGTCCGTCGCTTTTTTAAAAATATATGCACTAGCAAACGCGATTTTCTCCATTTCTCCATATAAAAAACAAAATTGAGAAATATTTTGATTTAATTTTATTTAAATCGTCTTCCGGATAATGGTTTTGTGTAAAATAAAAAACAAAAAAAATTATAATACCGACTTTCAGATGTAGGTAAAATTAAATAGTATGTAATAAATTAATATTTTCAATTAACTTTAAATAAATCGTTCTCCGAATGACGGTTTTATATAAGTTAAAAAATAATTTAATATAAAATACTGACCTCAATATTATTTAATTAACATGATTACTTTTTATTTATCTTAAAATTTAATGTGATACCGACCTCATGAGGTCGGTATTTTTTATTATATCTAATTACTTTTAATAAAAGCGACATCCGGAGGTCGGTATGTTTAAAATATTTCTATTAATCATAATTTTGCTATTGTGCATAATATTAAAATTTCATTTTACACCTACAATTAATTGTTCAAAAAGTGTAACAATTTTGTATACTTTTACAAATAAAATGTTAGAATTGGTGAAATAAATAAAAAATATCTATAATCCATATTTAGAGTATGAAACTACGTTGATATGAATTAGGAGATAATTATACTTATATTTATAGAGTAATGTACAAATCCTATCAGTCCGTCGTCTAATCATAAACTTAATATCTCATTTCATGATGTAGTAGAGGTGAAGAGCTAACATATAATTCATTCCAGTATGAAATGCGAGATAGTATTATTATATACGTTTGATCTTGAATGGATGTCAAGTGTAGTGATCACCTCCTAATTATGATGACATGTAAAGGATACTTCGTCGGAGTATGAAATACGTTGATTAATTATATACATATTTCTCGAGTAGTTTAACAAATCAAGTCTTATATACTAGTGGTTTAGATATAAAATACATTATCAATTAAAGAAATATCGATGATCAATTCAAGGAGATTTATATATTAAATTTGATATTGATAAACTTTTGTTGATCAATAAAATTAAATTTATATAATTAGAAGGTATATAATTTAAATTTATAAAATTAACTTGATCGATATATATATATATAATTTAACTACACATCAACAAAAGTTTAATTTAATAAATTTAATTTATCGATCAAGTTAATTTTATAAATTTAAATTATATACCTTCTAATTATATATATGGCCAAACACATATACAACCCCTCTAACTTGTCCACATTTTTCATTTTGGCACTTTATCTTAGCCTTGTTCCATTTTAACCCTTGAACTCCATTTTTTATGTTCCATTTTAACACGAAATACTATTTTTATGATTTATTTATTTTTATATATATTCTTCAATTGCAACTTCTTATTTTAAATCGACATGTGTCATTTAATTTTAGTTAAAAAATTAAAAATTAACAAAAAATAATTCTTTTTAAAAAATAATAATTTCTTTTTAAGAGTGTTATGTATTTTTGTGTGAAAAATAACCGACGAAATTGTGTTGGTTTTTTTTCTTTAAAATCACTGACAACCTTATAACAAAATTAGTCGAGTTGTAACATTGTTTAGTAGTGTTATTAGCGATGAACAAGAGTCTTTTTTTAGTAGTGTTATTAACTAAGTCAGTCGAGTCTTTTTGAAGATGGATTTTTTTATTCGTATTGATTTATATTAAAAATTAAAAGTGAGTATTTGTGTTAAATTTAGATAGCCTAGATGATAAGAAAAAATAAATAAGTAGTGTTATTTAATTTGATTGAATGTTTAAGAAAGAAAATCAAAGAACTTTCGTCAATTTATTTTCATGCAAAGATACAGAGAAATATCAAAAAATAATATTATTGTTTGAAAACTTTTATGGTCGTTCGCGAATGCTTAATTTTTTTAATTAACAAGCACACGTCTATATGTTTTGGCATATATATATGTGTGTGTGTGTGTGTGTATATATATATATGTATATGTAATTTTAATTAATAAAATCAACCTCAAAAGGTGAGTTTATATTAAAATAAATTAATAAATACTGACCTAAAGAGGTCGGTATATTTAAATAATTATTTTATTTAGATAATATCGACTTCACGATGTCGGTATGTTGACACCCAATTTTGACAGACCTATAACCCTTTCGGAAGTGCTATTTGGTTAACTACGTGTTTTTTTATAAATATTCCGAGTTTAAATTTTTAATCGATTTTGTCTAAAAATTATATATTTTAGTTTGCATGCTTTATAAAATTATCGTAAAT